CGGTTAGTGGATCCTTCCCACAGCATTACAGTGAGTTTCCTAGTGTTAAACTACAAGAAATTGGTCTCCAAAAAAACTGCTTTGTTATTTCTTCTACCCCATTTGTGGGTCATGAGCTGTATTGCATTACATTCTGTGCAAGTAAAGTCAAACTTGTACATATTGAATATCCAGTATATGTAACCAATAAAGTTTTTCTATTTATGGAATAATCCAAATCCTTGCTTTTACTAAATCAAAACCCAGAGTATAATAAAATCTCGACTACGTCTGCTGTTTGAAAGTTTGCCCATAAATAGTTCTCAAATACTCTACTTAATGGTGTTAAACGCTTCGGGAAATACAGCTCTACTCCTCTTAAATTAGTATTACTTTTTCACAACATAACCCAATAGACAAATGATGACATTAATGTGTGGGTTTTTACTTTCCAATCGTTCAAAGTACACATTCTCGTACTAAAGTACGATCATCACTGGTTTAAACTAATCTTAGTATTGTCTAATAACACCAGAAGTGGTAAAATACTAAATTCCAAGCAAGACATATGAAAGTCTAACCTATAAATAAAAATATGAACTTCCATCTATGACCACTGCAATACTAAATATAGACCCAAGTCTTTCAATATTCAGTCGAAATCAAGGTAAAATTAGAGGTCTAGTCATGTAGTCTGTAGTTTGGACAATTCTAAAACGCTTCTTCAATAGGATTTCCGCCGCAATGTATATTAGAGTATTTTCATCTCAAAAGACTGCCTTTTACTTGTTCAACATGGGAAAGGCTTTGAAATTGAAAAAGCAAAGTGGGTTAAAGATGTAATAACGACGGTTGTGCATGTCAGAGATAAGAGAACCGTCAACAAGGATATTTAGAGCAAGGTATAGTTAAGTGGGAAGTACAGAAGGAGAATAAAAGCGGAGGGTGGTTTGTGAGTTAACGTGTAGCTATACCTTCTTTAACGAGTCACCCGTCTGAGACGTCCGATTTCTCAGGACGTCTGAGTCCTCCGTTTTCTTTCCATCTTAGAGTGCACCCGAGACTTCCTTGTTCCTAAAGGCCCGTCCACACGATCGAGCAGTGCCCGGCGGGCTTTGACCCTTTACCGGGCAAAGCTTGTGTGTTGTACACACGGGGGTGATTGGCGTCAGTCATAGTCGGGCGCTAGTAAGTGGTCTGCAGTGGCGGATACGCTACGATCGCACGAATAATCGCCCGACAGTGAAAAGCAAAGATCATATCGTTGTGTACTATAATAATTGCTGCTATGTGCAAATGCAGAAAAAGGGGATGGTGGTTAGGTCGGAAAAAAGTATTGAAGTCATGCCACGATTTTACGTGAACGGCAAGATGGACACGAGCGCGACATGACAAAGGACTCTAACACCTTTTACAAATTTCGAGCGAAAGTGGAACCATATATAAAAAAAACCAGGATACCAATATGAGGGAAAGTATATCTGCAGAGGCTAGTCTAGAGGCAACGCTTGTATATCTTTCAACTGGTATGCACCTACACGTCACGAGGATATCGAAACAAAGTTTGTCTCGCATAATACCTGCTATGAAGTACTCGAGGAAGATTACTTGCAGGTGATTTGTAATCCATAAAAATGGATTGAGTTATGATATGCATAAACAGGAAGCTATGGGACGAGAACGAAGAACACACACGAATGTCCTCATTACATAAACAATCTCCTGTCACGCCAATATTGTACATTGCATTTGGTTATACACTGAGCGGGGAACACGTACGTATAACATTTGTAATACTTATATACCACCAGGCAGGCTGACCATGATTTCGCTCAACGACGGGCCTTTAATATAACGACACAGAATTGGAAATTGCAACAGTGGTGGTATATGTTAAGGCAACTTAGATATCTGATTATAGTTGGAACATCCATTAAGTGATGGTGAAAGCTTCAACTATCTTTGTTGTTAGTAAAACTACACGAGTGGCTTGTCCTTGGGGATAGCCAGATGTTTCCAAGTACTACTGAAATTAGATCATTTGGATGCCCGAACGTCAAATCGAATTTACCAACCGTATTGAAACACTTTTCTCACACACTGTACCGCCAACTCTGACCTGCACACACTACCCATGGGCAGCCAGCCTCTTTGTGGGGTGGCGAGTGAAACGAGCCTAAACATCTGGGAGTTCCGGGGGAGCTGTAAGCCCCCCCCGGGAAAATATTGAAATTTGAACACTTCTTTGCAGAATTTGGAAGCCATATGCAGTTATATTGAGGAAATTAAAACATTGAGACATTTTTCATTAACTGTATATTTATTGATAGTGTACAAATTCCCAACACACACAAAAGTGAGACATGACTGGAGTCATTCGTGTGGTTTCAAGTCGACCAGCCCTGATATGTAGAGAGGCCCTGCTCACGAAAGAGGAACTTAAAAGTAGCCAAAGCTGACATTTTTTTAAACCAAAAGGAAATTCAGAGCCCAGTGACAGTAAACTCCCAGAGGATGACACAGTAGAGGTTCACTTTAGTCATTCGGATGACGAAACGAGGTCAGCTGAGATTAAGTAAATCGCCACCTACAGCAATGCAAGTACCGTAGTGGATACTCTCCTACAAACTGACGAGCCTAGCCGCATTCCAATGAGACGGGATTCGGCGACTTTCTCACGGGGGTGGGGGGTCGCCACCTGCGACGCTGGCATCCGGGTTTACTTCCGGTAGCCGAGTGTATGACCTCTCGGTCTCGCCGTTGAAATTCATTCTACCCTACGTTCCTGAACACGCCGCGTCTCGTCTCCTCTTCCAAGCACCAACTTCCCACCACCAGACTCTTTTGTATATAATATATTTTATAGAAGAAAACCACCATTAAGAGTTTCCTTTCTCCAACCTGTGACTGAAGCTTCGTCCGATTCATCTCAGTTGAATTATAAGAAACATTCTATGGAACCGGTGTCGAGTGATCCGGCTGACAGTTGATGATAAACCCATTGACTATTTACTAAATCATTCTCTTGATCTAAATTGTGAACAAGGTCACTTCTCAACAAGTGAAAAGGAAAGAGTTCGGTATGTGCCCAAATCCTTGTTTACATGATGACAAAGGGAATGGCTTGTGTATTCTCCAAAAACTGGAGATGTATTTTGCGTTTAGCGACTGGAAAAACTGCCGGCGTACAGTTGCCGAACGTGAAAGTGGCAGAGAGCATCAAATTTCAGTTGGGGTGTGAGGGCAATTACAGCAAGGCGAATTCATTCCACTTTGGCTTTGCAACTACAATTGGAGAGAAAATAATGCAAAGAACGTCTATTGCGCATAGTTGAAACACTACAAATTTTAACATCGAGAGGTCTTCCTCTCAGAGGTAGTGATGAAAGAATAGGCTCTAGCAACAATGGCAATTACCTTGCAACTCCTGGCCAAATTGGACACTTTTCTTGCACAGCATCTGGTGCTGTGCAAACACTTCATATCTCTCAAAAACGATTTGTGACCAAATGGTCAATCAATTATCATAAGTGAAGTGAAACGAGACAAATATTAGTCAGTTAGTGTAGATTCCACGCCGGATGTTAGTCATACTGACCAACTTACATTCATAGTTGAGCGATTTTTATAACTTCATAGACATATACATGACCATGGTGCACAGAGCATAGCCTCAACTATTGTACAGTTAATTACAGAAGTTCGTCTTGAGGGCAGAGTTATGACAATGCTGCCACTATGTCAGCCATTTACACTGCCAGAATAAAGGCTGGCATATTACGTCCCTTGTGCAGGTCACTCCTTGAACCTTGTAGGAACATCAGTTGCCTTGGGTCTCTTTCAAATTCCGGATTTTTGCAAACCTTATACAACTACTTCTCAACCTCCACATATAGTTGGGATCATCAGCTGCACTACCGGCTGAAGGGATTGTAGCGAAATCCCTTTCACAAACTGGCTGCAGTGTTTTTACATTACCTTGAGATAAAGTCAGCACTGGAGAACAAAATATGTTCCGACAGTAGCTTCAAGGTCAAGGCCTCATAAGACGAATGCAAGCATTTGAAACACCACTTCTTGCTGTAAAATAGTATCAAATCTTAACAAGGTTTAATGCAACCAGCTTATCACTTCAAAAAAGTTCACACCCACCTTCTGTCAGTTGTGAAACTGTATGAGAGCTTGATCATCTTCGTCTCAGAAATGAGACGGGGTCAGTTGGATGAAATAGAAGATCAGGCCGAGCCTGTCTACAACGACAACAAAAAAGAGAAAACATTTCTTGGATGAATCAGTTGGCACTGAAACTCAACTTGATCCAAGGTGGACAATTTCTACACCATATTACGAATGAATAGAAATAAAGAAGCGGTTTACCTTAACGGAGTATGACACCATTGGCTGTCAGTACCTATTCCAGTGACCTGGAAGCATCTGTTCTAGAGGAGTTTTTGCAATTTAAAGACATTTTCTCTTCTGAATCTGACAAGTCAGTGACAAGCCTTTCCAGATGGTATGTTGACAACTGCCTTTCCAAACATTAGTAGTAGTAGTAGTATCTTCGGGGACACCACTGAAAGGTGGAGACGGCCCCTCGGAAACACGTGGGCTCGGCGTCGGTCGCCGAGACAGTCTCAAAGCCGTGGTTTAACACCAGAAGCAGTTTTTCTATTTCATTCATTTTATCCACAAATGTTTGGATGATCGTAATAAAAATGATACAACTTTTTCTTTAATTTTAAGATTTTTTTTCTCTATCTACGATCATAAATCACCCATAGCGGGCAGGGCACGAAACATGAAGGAAATTACGGGGTAAAACAACGAAACTCTGATCGTGTGGCAGTGAAGAAATAAATTATTTACCATAAATGTTCGGCCAATATTTCTTTCGTGACGTTGCACGTTCGCGTCTCGTCGTAAACCGTCAATTTGTGATTTCGGTCTCCGTATACATTAAAAGCAAACGACGGAGGCTCTCGGCGGGGGGAATATTACGGGACATAATAAAAGAAAAAAGCTGGCCGGAGACAATCTTTTATTCTCACTTTGGTAACACAAATTGAAAAGTTTTATTCACAACATATTTCATTTAGAGTTGACAATAAATATCTTGTGTTGAAGACTTAATATGATATGTACAGATCCTATCTATCATCCATAGTCTGGCAACAAATTGCTCAACATCGCGCCGTTACATTTTCTGACGACGGAGATGAAATATGCAAGACGTAACAACTCTTGGCTTAGATAAACAATGTCTCATAAATGAGATACAGGTATATCTAAAAATGAATGGCGCCAAATAACGATGATTTGGCACCGACCGTTACACTAATGACATCACTTGACAAAACAAACATTGTCACATCATGTGACATTAAATATGTACAGTACAGTTTACAAAAGTTCATTTACTGTATATGCCAAAGATGGCACTATGGTGTGGTGCAGTTTGGAGCAATAATTTAAATCAACCATTTCTGTTCCTATAGTACATTAATATTTGGAGGAGGGAGTTGAAATATAGGTTCCACTTCAAAAATCCAAAATGTTTCAGATAACTGAACTTGTTGGCTAACTCAAGGTCATTATTAAAAACCCTAATATTTCATTAAGCACCAAATAAAATACTACATATATGACAACTATAAACTAATATATAATACTGCATGTACAGGTATAACAAACACACTAAACTAAGGAACTCAAAATATAATGTTAATAATAATACAGGCCGTCCGCAACTTACAACAGGGATAAGTTCCTGGACCCATACTTTAGGTTACATAACATAAAGTGCTGTTAAACAATGATGAAAATAATGACAGTTTAATTACAACTTTTTGAGGTGAATGTATTGGGATCCCGTTCGTAAGTGCGGGTGACGGCGAGTCGGAGGGTGTAACTCAGTGACCGACTACGAGAAAATGCCCCGGTGATGATATCTTAGCTTAGTGTGCTGAAACGCCATCATCTGGCAGCGCGGTAAATTTTTATAATCAATGCGATCACTTTTGGATGTTCACAGTTTGAGGATAAATGATGTTTGGATTTTTTTAAGTGCAACCTGTATATAACATTACTGTACAGTATATATTTCTGAGCAAGTACAACTCGTGAGGAGCCACAAACGTACTCTTGATGTATGCAAAACCTAATTTTAGATTACAGCATCCCTATATATACAGTATATCCGAAACAAAAATTGAGAATGCCAAAACAAATTACAATGTTATGAAATACATAGTGGATACTTGTTTAGTACAACTCACTAGCAGCAACAATATTGAAATAAAATATATACTGCACTGCGTAATTCCCTATCATTGCTAAGTGTTGCTTCAATGTGACCTCCAAAGTGTAAATAGTACACAGCCACATTCCATTGACAGAGCCAGGTCAGCAGAGCTTGACACAGTGATGGAGGCGTGATTAATCAAGGAGTGCCTATTTCTGCTCCTACTGTGAGAAAAACCCAGGCAGTTTAACCAGATTTTGGAAATAAAAGTAGATTACAAAATGTGTAATGCAGATTTAGCGGTGACAAAATCATACCTAAAAGCTTGTACTGTGCTGTACCTCATAATAAAACACTCAATATTTTCATTTATATGTACACCTTTACATTTATCCCCCACAAATACCCTTTTAAAGCAAATTGACAACTTTTTAAGTGGTATCATGATTCTTACTAATTAAACATTCATCCACTTGAAATGCTAGGGCTAATTATATTGAAGATATTCTTAATATAAATCATTGTACCTCTGACGATACTCTGGAGAAGAGACCGGATGGCAAGAGCAAACTTCAACTCTCCGGATGACATCTCGGAGATGGTCGGAAGGAGCTGATCGTAAAGACGAACTCCTTCTGTTGACTCGGATAATATGCGAAACACCTGGAATAAGAAATTTTTTTAAAAATAAGCATAATATATTTGTACATGTTCTAGGTATTCGGTTCTAACTACAGGGGCGAACAGAAACACTCGTAGAATTCTATTTTGCTGGTTGGTGTAGGTAGGTCACCACGAGGTCAGGTCTTATATGGCGGAGATAAGCGTGGCTTAATAGTTGACCTCCGTCGTCTAAGGCGGCGCTGGTTGACCTAGACCACGACGCATACGCTGGGGAATTCGCGGGGTCGGCTACTCTGCGACAAACAGCGTTTGTAGGGGAGGAATCCACTACGATACTCCCCCCTTCCCTCCAGGAGACTTGTTGTCTGCAGGGTTGCATGGCACATGCGAGGCAAAACGGCGGTGCATGCCACATGCGAGACATAACGGCGAGGGCGTGAAAGACCCGGCCGCTCGGGGAGACAACTGTCTCGAGTCTAGACACACGAGATCTGTGGGAGAAAAAGGGTGTGTGGGGGCGATGAATGTTGTGCTTCTGTCGCTGCAGGGGCAGCGTCCTCATGATCACTGGGTCAGGGGCGACGTCAGGAGGAGGGTCTATAATAGGAGCAGGGTCTACAACAGCAGGTGGGAGTGCCGGAGGGAAAAAACAACGGCGACGAATGCTGTGCTTCCCTCTCGGCAGGTACAGAGTCCTCAGATGCGCCTGCTGGGGTCGATAGGACGTGGTGCTTGGGGCAGGAAGAGGAGCTGGTGTCTGCTTAGAGTAGCAGAGCTGCTCTACGGTGTCTAACCTGAGGTGTAGAGACAGTACCTGTAGAGCCGATGAGAGCTGCCTCTGTGTGGATAAGCCAGTCTTCCATGTTGCTTGAAGACTGGGAGAGTGATCGGTTTCTCCTCCATCCTGTGTGAGTGCGAATCTCCGGGGTCACCATTTGTGGGGTTATGAGATATTGGTTGGAGAAAGGAAACTCACAATGTGCTCTCTGTATACATATTGTATTGGATGTACAGAGCAGCTTGGTGCTGGGAAGTGGCAGGTTGGTTACAAGCGTGATGTACAGAGATCTGGTTGGTGAGGGTGCTCAGAGGAGGACCAGCTTGTGGCTCGCCGACGGAAGCGAGGGCCGCCAGGCAGGAGCGGAGGAGGTGGTGTAGGTAGAAAGAGGTAGGTCACCACGAGATTAGGTCTTATATAGCGGAGGTAGCCCACTACAAGACGGCACTCCCTACTCTATCAACAACCGAGCCCTCAGGCGACATGTAGCAGCTTCCATATGTCGCCAGGCACATTATCTAAGCGTGTGGGACATAACAAATGCATTGCCACATGCTGCTGGCTAGGCTAAATAAGTAGTATATATATATAAATGGAATACATAATATACATACAACATACACATATAACCCCCCCCCCTCTATACGCTCATAGCAAAGTCTTGAGCGGACCTTTTCTTTTGGATCCGTTCTGAGCGTCGAGGGACTTGATCACTGGGGAGGACACAGGACTCAACACTGGTGACGGGGTCAGCAGAAGGCGTTGTTACGGGGCGGAGAAAACGGCGGTTACCTCCACCACACGCGACCACTGGGTAACAGCACCTGGTAGTCCCGTGATCTACCGAGACCCATGACTACGCCCCCTTTGTCCTAACGTAGGGAGATAAGGTCCTGAACACGGACTTGGGTGCCGACACTCAACTTGGGGAGAGAACGGGCGTGGTAGTATTAGCGGGCGACGACGTCACGAACTCGTTCGGCGGCCGCAATCCTCTGTCTTAACCTGCTACTCCTTGGAGAAGGACTGAGCGTGAGCAGGGATACAAGACCTGGGCAGGGGAGCATCCGGTGTAGCTGGGTTGTTGCGGAGTTCGAAGAGACCCCGGTCGAAGGCCTCGCAGTTGAGGATATTCCCAGAAGTGGCCACTTTGAGGATGAGGTGCTTCAGGGATTTGACAACAGCCTCGGCGTGGCCGTTGGACTGCGGGTAATGGGACGGTGACAACACCTGCCGGACTCCCCGTCGCTCGATGAACGCAGCAAAGTCCCGGCTTGTGAACTGCAGCCCTCCGTCGGTGGAGGTGGGGGAGAGGAGGTGGGAGAGTGCAAGTAGGGGAGTGCAGGTGAGGGAGTGGAGGTGGGAGGAGTGCAAGTACGGGAGTGGAGGTGGGGAGAGTGGAGGTGGGGGAGTGGAGGAGGGCGAGTGGAGGTGGGAGGAGTGCAAGTAGGGAAGTGGAGGTGGGGGAGTGGAGGTGGGGGGGAGTGGAGGTGGGGGGAGTGGAGGTGGGGGAGAGTGGAGGTGGGGGAGAGTGGAGGTGGAGGGGAGTGGAGGTGGGGGGAGTGGAGGTGGGGAAGTACAGGTGGAGGTGGGGAAGTACAGGTGGAGGTGGGGAAGTACAGGTGGAGGGGAGGGACCAAACGGGGTCACGGTACTTCGGACGGGAAGCACCTAATACTCGAAAAGCGTTACGAGGGACAGACCATCTACGTGTCGCATACACTCCCGGGTCCTTCTCGTACGGTATTTTGGTCTCCGTTAATGACGTTTCTTCGTCCGGTTGGGACACGTGACCTAGGTGCATCCTCCTACATTTAGTATTCACTTTTATCTTAAGAGCCATTCTTTTGACCTCTCCTGAACCTGACAGTCTGTTTGAGTCCCAATTTCCCTAAAGAACTTAAGTGTTGTCCCAAAATACTGGTACAGAGAAGTTAATATCGTATTGTCCCGGAGTACGATGATAACCACATAGTCATGATGAAGGTTGTACGACATGGTTGAGAAAATATCACTTATTAAATCAGAAAATATTTGACATCTTCAGGGTTGATTTCATACTGAAGGAATAAAGATGCTTTCATTATAGTACAGTAAACTCCCTCTAGCCCGGACTCGCTTAATCTAGATCCTCTTGAAAACCGGCCTGGGGTCCAGCACCGGACACAAGTATCCCCGACCAAAATCCAGATAGCACGGGGGAAAGTTGATGTAATCGGGGGTTCCAACTGTGGTGGCACAGAAGGGTAACCATGTCATTAGCAGTGACAACTGAAAAATCACACTTCTCATCCACTTAAATAACAAACAACAATTCATCTATGACAATACTCATTGCAGAATCAGTAGCTGTGACGTGTAATATTTTGTTATTTGATCACTAACATAAAATATGATACTATAGGTATACAAACAATTCACTTACTGGAATTTGCATCTAAAAATTAAATTATTTACCTATTATACAGTACAGTACAGCATTGATTACTGTCAAAATAACAATATTTTGAAGTTGCACTCAATTCACATAAAATTTCCGACTTTTTCCAGCCTCCGTTAAAATTGTTTGCCATTTCCAGACCAGTAGACACCCTCATCATCCAACTGAGTACAATTTAATCAATGCATCACAACATGATTTCATGGATAGAATATTCTGCTGACAAACTTAAGTCATTTTCATTGAATTTTTAACAGACCACATGGACCAAGGTCTACCAGTGGATGTGTTGTACGGTCAGTCAAAAGGAACGAGTTTCTGACTCGACTGTCTCTCGTTTGATGCGGGTGTGCGGTTTCATTTTATTTGGGGTTCAACAAACTTTTGGACCATGGATGTATGTGCATTTCTCTAGGGCACTTGATAAAGTCTCACATCCACTACAAGCTGGCCAAGTTCTCATGTTGAACAAATATAAGGAAATACTACTTTACACAGACTGGTAGACCTATGGAACAGTCTGCCAGCACAAGCTGTGGAATCAAGAACAGTACTGGACTACAAAAGAAACCTTGACAAAATTATCAAGAACAATGCAGGGATCTTACATAACCCACTGGTCTCCATCCCTTGGCATAGCCACCTCTATTGGGTGGCCATTAGATAAAAACAGTCTCAAAGGAATACACGTGTAAAAAAACACAAGTGTTACCGCCACAGTAAGATAAACTAGAAGAGAACGGATATAGTGTTGACGACGAATTAGCCGAGGTGCTTCAATACGAAACGGATGGCCCTCGAGGGTAGTCCACCGATTTCTACGGGACAGACGACACGTCGGTTCGGACCACTAGACCCTAAGACGTGAGCGATCGTGAAGTATTAGAATCTGCCAAGAAACTCTAAATAACTTTAATAAGTATATTTATGTACTGTAATTTGATCTGATGTATCAACAGTTATAAAACGCGAGTTATATTTAAGATGTTAACAGGCTATGTACTGTACATAGGTTGTATTATTCATACTATGTATCCCGAGATAACAGCATTTGTTATATGAGAATTGTTCTTTGACCGAATTATGTGGTACCTGTCAACGTCGAGGGTTTATTTCTCCAGCGTCAAACCAATAACGCTCCTATGAGCGTTAACAGCAAGTACTGTACTGTATTAGAATAGGCTTATTCACATGTGAAATAACAGTTACTCACCTCCCACAGGTCAGCTGTGTTTCATCAGTTGTCATTGGTGCCGTCATAATATATGGGTCTGGACACTCAGGTAGGGTGTGTCAATTTAGGGGGTGAACTGGCTAAATTGAAAATCGAGTAATTTGGTAGCAATTTATTGTAGTCTTTAAGCATGCAAAACAATATTCTGGCATAATTTTTTTTTTATAATAAGTCCTACCTACATCAAATGGATTTTAAATGTACATATTTGTGAATTTATAACATAACCAGCGTTTGCACACATGTTACTGTTTCAAGTTTCAAATTATTATATTTTATTGTCCGTAGTCTATTTGAAAGTAACCAATGCCTTCATACTCTCTTTGCTTTGGTTTCTTGTCATCAGTAGTCTGCTTGCTATTTGTGCTTTGATGTAACCTTCTCGCCTCTCGTGGCTGTAAACATGGCCCGCTGCTTCTGTGACCATTTTCACACATCTCTCCACACTTCGGCACCTGCATTGGAGTCTCTTTAAGGTTTCTCAATTCTTGGCTAGTTGTCAATGGTGGCTCTAAGACTTCCAAACTCAAGTCAACCAATTCTGACAATTTGGTGGCATTGACGTTTATTGGGGGAACTTTTCTTGAATGAAACGAACAGTCTCCCAACTGGTCGTCATCTATTAGCGTTCCTCTAATCTTTAGAATGACTTCTACAGCCTCGGTTCGGAGATTGGTACATTGACTGCAAAGCATTGCTTGCAAAACTTCTTCTGATCGAGCATACCAAGCGGACCTTCTTGCCACAGGTAACACGATGTCCCTCACTACCTTCCTCTGTGTTCTTACTAGCTGCAATTGAAACAAAAGGTGATTGGGCCCATCCACCCACATAGGATTAAGTTTCACACTAAACCACTGGGGAAGATAAACTCCAATAATAAATTCAACAATTAACCTCAAATTCTTCAGCACTTTGCCCTTCAATTCGTGTTTGGAAATCCAAATCCTGCAGAAACGAAGAGCTGTAGTTAACCAACAGCTGTGACTGACAGGTCCAATCTCCAAGAGAGCCAATGATCTTATTGCTTGGGCAATACGATAAGCATAGGATTGATCTGTGCTGAGATCTTTGATGACTCCTTCAGACAACGCCGGAAGGGGAGGGCCAACTTCGACCTTTGGAAAGGTTGTATTTATTTCTAGTTGTGTCGCTTCATCCAGCATGATGCCAAGGGGACCTGACCACTTGTTGTTGCTCTTTGTAGGACCATCAAGTTCCTGGATGAGATGACGAAGAGGTAGCTCGCCTGTATGTAAATCACATACAATCCAAGCAAGTCTTCTTCCTAGTTTTTTCTCTAAATGCGTCATTACACCCCCCTGCCATCCGGTGTTCACTGCAGTTGAATCTCCACCAACAGCCTGCAGTGAACTGCCAAGTCCTCTCTCCTGAACCCAACATAAAATATGATCAGCAATGACCTCTGCATGTTTCTTCCCTTCTACTTCAGTTTCGGGAGCAAAGTGAAACAAAAACCGACCACCAGGCTCAGAACAGACAGAGTAGTGTTCTTCTTTGATGAGACCTGGAAACTTTCTGTTCACTCCCTCTACTTTTAGCAAAACTTTTGTGTCATCTATTCTTCCATCAAACAAAAGACAGGAGAGCCCTCCCTCGCTTAAATCTTTTTCATGCTGATCAGATATTTCCTTCATTATTTTTTCTTGTGCTCTTCTAATTTTATTGTGATCTATCACCAAAGATACATCCTCTCGGCTGATGAGGCCTGCATCTATCCAAGCGGCAGTTGCAATTTCTGCAGCCTCACGAAGTCCAGCATGGTGGCGAATACTAGCTAAAGCAATGTTTGAAATATTTCTTGTGTTGTATTTCATTTTCTTTGGTAAAGGTTCAGATGGCTCTTTGAAACTATCATCTGATGTTGCTTCCTGTTCATCAGAAGAACTATCAAAGAAG